GGGGGTGAAGAACACAAACAGTAAGGATTATCCTTTTTACGGCCCCTTTTGACCTCTCATGACCTCTTATGACATCCCATAACCCCTCATGACCTCTTATAACCTGTCATAACGCTGCATGACCCCACTCTCCCATCCAGAGGTACCGACGCATTCTGAAGCCAACAGCAGAGACAGTGCGATGTACATACACAGAGAGCCTCGAGGACACAGAGGCAGACAGATACCCCACCTTCACCAAGAACCTCTATGTGAGTTGACAGGAAAATAAAAAAATGCCAAATATAAATTTATCTATCGGCAATTGTCATGAAAGCCATACGGATCCATAAGAACAGTATCCCCTCGAAACTAAAAAAGGCAAGTTACTTTAGTAGAGGTTTTACGGCCGTCGCAACTGCATTAGGTCATTTGAGAGCCAGAAGATTAGAGGTTTTTACAAGAGGTGTTACAAGAGAGCAACAAACATAAAAAAGAAGAAGGGGAGATAAGGACGATAGATGTCTCATAGGAAAGAAGAAACAAACCACGCCAGAGCACCCGCCAACCACCCAAACAAAAAATACAAGGTATAAGTTTATCAGTAATATACAATTCGTCATGAGAGCCATACATGATGCTATGTATGAACAGTATTTCGTCGGATGTCAATAAAAAGCGAGATATAAGTTTATCGATCTACAATTCGTCATGAAAGCCATACGAATGCTGCATGAACAGTATTACCTGGAACATCGTGGGGGTAATGTTCCAGAACCGCCCACCATGTAATATAGGGGGAAAATCCGCGAAGTAGAAACAGTTTGTTATCCATTATGTATGTTGCACCTTTTAACCTCTCCTTGAACATTTTTACCCCCCTCTCTGTCCCTGTCTCTGTCTGTCTGTCTGTCTGTCTGAATGTCTGACTGTGCAGTCTGATTCTCTCTCTCTCTCTCTCTCTCTCTCTCTCTCTCTGTGTATGTCTCTCTCTCTTTCTCACTCGCTCTTATATGCATTTTCTATACTTGGAGTTTGAGAGACCAGCCGTATTTAAAATATAAAAGAAAGACTTAGTGTTATTATATAGTGTTATTATATTGGGTTATGATAACGTTTAGTCGCGTCTCGGCCACGTTTCTGAACAAAGAGATTCCCCGGGTTTTTCTAGTTTCAGACTAGATGTACTGTGTTCGCAAAACGTGAATTGTGACAATAATATTCTGAGTCAGAATGATGTATAGACATTCTATTTATAGCTTAAGAATCGATACCGCCAGACTAAATACCCGGTCATCTTAAAAGTTGATTATTCCCCTGTATCGGGGAAATAT